AAACCATTTCAGGTGACTACCTCTTGAAGCTCATGGAGAGAATGCCAAGAGTGTGCAAAGCAGTAATCAGAGCAAAGGGTGGCTATTTTGAAGAAACTAGAATATAAAACATGTTTTCAGTTATTTCACCTTTTTTTGTTAAGTACATAACTCCACATGTGTTCATTCATAGTTTTGATGCCTTCAGTGAGAATCTACAATGTAAATAGTCATGAAAATAAAGAAAACGCATTGAATGAGAAGGTGTGTCCAAACTTTTGGCCTGTACTGTAGATCATTAAATGAAAATCTAAACCCACCCTTCTCTTTAGATTGGGTTAGCATACTATGTTTTTTAATTTCCTTTTACAATTCCAGATATTGAGCATAGCGTTAGTTCAGACAGGCCATGGAGTCAAGCTCAGCTCACATCCCAGCTACATCAGCTGATCTCAAGCAGCCCATTCCGCTAACTGCTAATAGATCACATGACACCTGTCTACGCAACCAATTGGCAATTCTCAATACGGACACCCTATTTAAACTGCTCTGGTCTAACTACTGTTGCTGCTTCCTCTGCAAGCCACTATGAAACCCGCCTCCACCTTTTGCTTTTATGCTGTATCTGACTTATCAATGTCATTTCAGTTTGTCATTGATGCTGACTCTGTTCTGTACCGGGGGGTCAGGTAGGTTTGCTCTCTCTACTTTAAGCTTTCCACGCAGGCATAGGGAGGGTAGAGAGGATTGCTCTCTCCGCCTTCAGCTTTCCACGCCGGCGCATGGAGGGCAAGAGAGGTCCCAGAATAGAGCCAGTTTTGGAGATTCAGAGCAACCCCATTTCTTTTTTGGGTAAAACTCCTGGACAGAAAACAGTGAAGGATTCCCTCTTCCATCAAGATTTAAAACAGTGCAAAGATTAAAGTGGGTCCTCTTTGTGTTTCTCACCATGCAATCATATTTCAGTTCGTTCATAAAATACGCAGCCTCGGCTCCCTTGTAGTGGTTGAACCAGATAGTCCCCTGGAACTGGTCTCCAGCGTCCAGCAGCAGCACGTTGCTCTCGTTGCTGTGGATCCTCTTGATCATCGTGGCTCTCCGGGCCACCCCGGCAAAACACCCACTGCTGCTGCTGCATTTCCCGGAGCGCTCGCTGGTCTCCTCCACCCGAGCATGAACGTCATTGGTGTGGAGTACAACTAGGTCCCAGGCTGCTGAAGTGGACACCAAGAAGCCCAGCAGGAGGAGGAGGCAGAGCCAAGGACGAGCATTCTGCTCCGGGCGTACTGTTCCCATCTCTCTGCAGTCAACTGTACACAAAAACACAGAAGGAGGAAACGGGGACAGTAGTTGTTGTTTTTCTTAGGTGACCTGCAGGAATCTTTCTCTCTTGTTTCTCTCTGTTCTCTTACTGCTTTCCTTCAAGTCTCTTTATGAATTAAATAAGACCTGCTGACACTATGTACTGGACAGACTGAAAGACAGAACGTGTCAGGAGGCAGGTAAAGAGGAGGAGGAGATCATCAGGGATGATTTCTATTATGATGGTTTGTGGTGCGACGCAGATTTTTTTCCATATCTTCTTAACCCAATTAGCGGTGACATCTGATAGTCCAAACTAGATAAACTAGTTTCATCTGCAAGGTGGAGACTTCTGGGGAAAGTTACACCCTCATTCCAGGGCTGTATAATGCCTACGGCCACTGCTTCATTTCATCATTTGATATAACAATGAGTTTACAATTTTAGACATTGGTCAATACTTTTGAAAATGTACTCTGAGCAGGCTTGTTTATCAAGCACTGCAGCAGCTCATAAAGGGTAGGCCAGAGCAGAGAACAAATTAACCTTTCTTAGGTGCACAGTTATGGTAAGCTTGTATTGTCATCCAAGTACGAGAAACATAATACAGTAATAATACAGTAATAGAGCAGTGTAATTAGACAGTAACACCACGTATGTGCTGCTCCTCTTCCTGCTGCACTGTAAAGTTAAGGATGCAGGCTGGTTTATAAAGTATCCGCAGTTTCTTCTTCTTACCCTCTTCTTATCCTAAGATTGCAGGCACACGCAGTATTATAAAGTTGTGACAGAAGGAGGCCCTCACACTACTTACACTGAGAGCACGGGCAGTATTATAAAGTATACACAATTTCCTCTTCTTACACTCTCCTTATCCTTTACTTACACTGTATGAATGGAGCCACAGGCTATTTAATGAAGTTTCCACTCTTCTTCCATTCTCACTCACTTATTTACACATAAACAATAATATGTTGTATTTTCATTCCTACTTTCTGAGTACACAAACAATAGCTGGGTGACACAAAAAAAAGGTTTTATTATATCATTTACTGATCTTTATTTCTTAAGTACTATTTCTTATTGATAATATGTAGTACGGGCGGCACGGTGGTGTGGTGGTTAGCACTCTCGCCTCACAGCAAGAGGGTTGCCGGTTCGATCCTGGGCGTGGGAGCCCTTCTGTGCGGAGTTTGCATGTTCTCCCCATGTCAGCGTGGGTTTCTCTTCTCTTCCTCCCACAGTCCAAAGACATGCAGACTGGGGACTAGGTTAATTGATAACTCTAAATTGTCCGTAGGTGTGAATGTGAGCGTGAATGGTTGTTTGTCTCTATGTGTCAGCCCTGCGATAGTCTGGTGACCTGTCCAGGGTGTACCCTACCTCTCGCCCGATGTCAGCTGGGATAGGCTCCAGCCCCCTGCGACCCTCAAGAGGATGAAGCAGTTAGAAGAAGATGAATATGTAGTACTTCATGTAGTATTTTGCTTTCATTTGGAGTTGTTGCTTTTCTTTGTCATGTTCTTCTTTTTCTCCTCTATCAGAGGGAGGAGATCCGTTCATTGACTTCATTGTCTCTAAAACCCAGTGAGCAGGTCAGAAATGTAGGTGTTATCATGGCTCCAGAACTCAATTTTACAAGCCATATTACAAGTATCACAAAGACAGCATTTTATGACCTAAAAAAATATTTCCAAAGTTAGATCCATCCTGTCTCAGTCAGATGCTGAAAAACTGGTTAATGCTTTAATCTCCAGACTAGCTTACTGTAACACCCTTTGTAGCAGCTATTTATCCTCAATTTAGTGATCAAAAATCAAAATATAAAAAAACTAAAATAAGACAAAATTAAATCAAACGGCCACTGAGGCACCTAGGGAATTAATTTACGCAGGAAAAAACAAAGTCCATTGTCCAGGCAAAAATGAAGTTTCTTCGGTTTATTTTTCCATTGGCAAACAAACAAACAAAGAACAATGGCCTTAGCTGCCTCTCTTGCCCTGGTAAAAAACCATAAACCCTCCCAGGTGCCTGGCTCACCTATACCTGCATACCCATATATGTAGATTCACCTAGTGCACCCCAACTACCCAGTACCTTCAAAATAAAAGCATGAATAAGTACTCAAATTAACTCAAACAATATTAAATATTATAAGCAAACTAAAGGTGTATTCTTCAGAACTAAACAACAAAAAATAACTAAATAATTAGTGATTAAATATTACAAAAATAACAAATAGCTCCAACACCCTTCTTGCCAGACTCCCCAAAAAGACTGTGGGATGGCTCCAACTTACTCAAAATGCTGCAGCCAGAGTGCTGACTGAAACTAGAAAAACAGGACATATTACTCCCATACTCAAAAGCACTCCACTGGCTTCCGATAAAATACAGAATTGATTTAAAAATACTCCTCACTGTTCACAAAGTACTTAATGGTCTGGCTCCTCAATACACCTGCTCACTGCCTACATACCCCAGAGAATCCTCAGATCATCAGACACTGGTCTCCTAACTGTGCCCATGATCCACAATAAGCTTGTTGACGGTGCATTCAGTCGGCCCCACTTTTCTCCGCAACTGTGTCATCCTTTAAAGACAAGCTTAGGACCTACCTGTTCTCCCAGGCCTATGAATAATTAGTGCCTCTGTCTGTCTATTTGTCTCTCTTGCTTCCTCTCCTCTCTAGTGTTCTCTTTTGGGGATATGTGATCAGGTATGTCTGTGTAGGTGGGGGATGAATTACTCTCAAGAATTATTGTTTTTATTCACACATGTTGTATGTCACCAAGGCAAAGGAAAAAAATTACAGCAAAGTTCACCAAACGATGTACCCACACTCATCATGTTGAGTAGTGCACAATGGCAGCCTCACAGAACCTTTTCCATGGCCACTGGCATCAGACAGACTGCCTGCTGTCCCCCTTGCTCTTCCTCCTGGTACTGGACTGGATCATGAGAAGATCAAGAGAATACAGTGGATGGTGTGGTTCCAGCTACATGATCTGGACTTTGCAGATGACACAGCCTTAACATGATCCACCCACAAATGCAAGCAAAGACAAACCTGCTAGCAACAACATCTGCCAAGAAAGGCCTCACCATCAACATAGACAACACCAGAGTAATGCACACTAACAACACCAGCAATGACTCCATCTGACTGGAGCAGAGCTAGAAGACGTTACCAACTTCACCTAACTCAGAGGTGTTATGAGCAAGGGTGGAGGGACGGATGCATACATTCAAGGCAAATTTGGAAAGTTTAGAGCAACTTTTGTTACATTGAAGCCCATCTCACCAAACTCACCAATGTTTAATCAGTGCTGCTCCATGGTTCAGAAACATGGAGAATAACAAAATCCTCCACCAACAAAGTCCAGACCTTTGACACCAAGTGCCCAATAATTATCTGTATGATACATTGGCCAAACACCATCAGAAATAAATATGTTTGGGAGGAATCAAACCAAGAGAGAACAGACACCCACATGAGGAAAAGGAAGTGGTGTTGGATCAGACACAGCCCATAATCAGTTTAACCAGACAGGCTCTAAAATGAAACCCAAAAGGGAAAACAAGGAAGACCCAGAAACAGCTGGAGAAGGTCAACAAGACATAGAGGCCAAGAAAATGAAGTAAAGATGGAACTGCAGAAAGTGTCCCGAAACAGTGAGCACTGGAGAAGAATTGTGGATGACCTGTGCTCCACTAGGAGAGAAAGAGTTTAAGTTGTGTTTCTGGTTAAAGTCAGCCTTCCATGCTCCCACACAGAGACCACAGCAGCCCAAGTGAGACCAGAATAATCAGTGGAGTGGTTTGTCCAAGAGCTGAGCTGCTGAGTGGAGTGGTCTGTCCAGAGGTTGAGTTGAGAGGAGTGGTCTGTCCAGAAGTTGAGTTGCTCAGTGAAGTAGTTTGTCCAGAAGTTGAGTTGAGGACCTTAATGCGTCCTTGAAGAGGTGTATAAAGTTTCTGATTTTTCATGATGTATTCAGACAGGACTGAAATGTCCAAATTCCCTGGAAGGAAATAAAATACTAAAATGAAGTCAAACTCAAATGAACAACAGCCTTACAAAATTATCAACTAAACAAACGTCTCACCGGTGTCGTGGTTGAGCTTCTCATCTGGGATCATGGAGAATCCATCTCCACCCTGCGCTATGAAGGATGGCATCACCACTTTATAAACCATCTCGGGCTGAACAGGTTTGTAGCGAGGAACTCTACACTGCACGCAGAGGATGCTGAGGCTCATCACACGATTCCCCTCAGGTTTAGAGGGGTCAAACTCTAAACGGAATCCTGTTTGAGGACATTAAACTTATCCATCATGTCTGAGGACCAACCTTGAATATCTTTGAGATACCAACTAAAATATGTCAGTATCAGAGTCCAACAAAATCCACCTACCAGCAACTCTAAAGCTCTCTAATTAACAGGTTATTATCTAGTTTGTTTATTTTATTCAAAAACCAATGTTTTGTAAGTGTAAACAAAAACCACTTGGTTTTAAGAGGTTATGTGACTTTTTTCCACATCATCCTTTATGTCACAGTGGGCACCTTTCATCCTCCATACATGCCAGCTCCTAAGCTCATTTAGTAATTCACCGCGCCTCATCACCACAACTACCTACCAGCCTTTCGCCTGTCCACAGAATTACCACTCCTGCCGGTCCACCACGCCCACCTGCTGCTCACCTGTGGATCATTATCCTGCTTCTTTGGTATTGACCCTGCCTGTCCTTGACTCTGGTGCTTTGTCTGCTCCTTGGTAAAACACTCTGCTTTCTGTTTTCAGCCATGAGCTCTCCTTCTGCATCCCTGGTTCCTGTTCCCGTTTCCTGCAGCTGTCTGGAAAGATCGTCACCAAGCTTTCCAAAGTGAGTTAACTGGTTCAGTCACCTGTGATCTTCTGAGCTGTGGTCTACTTTGTTGTGTGGCAGTACACCTCGCCTTTGAGTGTGCTCCACAGATTCTACATTTCATCA